AAGATGTTTGGTTTAAATAATCTTCTCAAAACTCGGGGATCTTTTTTTTTTCGATCAAAGACATAAAAAAACATACATATATAAACAGGAAAAACTGGATATCAGTAAATATTATGCTTCTCCTTTTGAAAAACTGAAGACCAAACATTAGTTTCGCAATTTAAGACAGTTAAAAGATTCTGCGTTCTTTCGCTAAATTCCTACAAATATGCAAGATAATTTTTTTTCAGGGCCTTTTTTTTCTATCAAATATAAGGCTCATAATTACAGAATTTTTACTGAGGCTATATTCTGCCGTCCCTAATTTTGTGTTACTGACCAATGGGAAGGTAGCTAGTCGCTAGCATCATGTCACCCAACATCCAGCTAACGGATGTAGCTGTCACTCCTATAACGCATCCATAGCTTACTTAAAGTGTGGGAAATATTTTGTGGTATCGCACGGATTCGAACCCGGGTCACCAGGTCCGAAACTCTGTTATCTTTAAAAATTGAGCATTCCAATCTTGGGAATAAGTTTATTAAACTTTATATTAAACAATCTTCCAATATACAAAGTAATGTCACGGCATCTCGAAATCGAACACACGGGCGGCTGCTGGCTGTTGTCACGTGGCCTTTGGTTCGTGCACCACGTGCCAGCTTTCATTTGCGTGTAATTAACAAAGTGCTTCTACAAAGAAGACGGCATGTGAACACTGATGCAGCAAGTTTCCATTAAATACCGAACACGAGTTACACCCTTTTTCTTCTGGCATAAAAGATTAAAACACATTTTCTTTTACAAAATTAACGTAATTAACACATTCATAATCACTGTAAATTACCGAACGCTAATGCATAATATGTCAGAAATGTTTGGTGAGTTTACAGTTCTTCAATCTGTGATAATTGTAACTATTCAAGACATACGCCATTTTAACCCAAGAATTAGACCTTGGGTTAAAGGATTAGACCCAACGATAACCCAAGCTGCTGACTTTAAGACTAAGGATTATAGTTGGCGGTCCGTTGCTTCAAACGCCCGCTATACACTGAGGGGTCGTGTGTTTGCTGCAAGAGATGATGGTCAAAACCAATTATTCGTTCATATAAGATCGGTCCAAAAGCTGGAGGTGGGTGTTGTTGACTAGCTGCCTTCGCTCTAGGCCGTCAGTTCAAAACTATGTATGATTGTTTGTTTGTAATTAAACAATGAGGTACACAATGAGCTATCTGTGCTCTGCCCACCATGGGTATCGAAACCCGGATTCTAGCGTTGTAAGTCCGCAAACATACCGTTGTGCCACTAAGGGGCAACTATGTACGGCTATGCACCAATAGTCCGTTTGTTTAAAAAAATAAATTACTAATTACGGGTATCGAAACCCGGATTCTAGTGTTGTAAGTTCGCAGACATACCGCTGTGCCACTGAGGGGCAACTATGTACGACTATGCACCAATAGTCCCTTTAGTTTAAAAAAAAAAGAATTACTAATATCAAATGTAAATACCACATTAATAACAAGCACTATTGGCCCGGCATGGCCAGATGGTTAAGGTGCTCGACTCGCAATCTACGGGTCGCGGGTTCGAATCCCCGTCCCACCAAACATACTCGTCCTTTCAGCCGTGGGAGCGTTATAATGTTACGGTCAATCCCACTATTCGTTGGTAAAAGAGTAGCCCAAGAGTTGGCGGTGGGTGGTGATGACTAGCTGCCTTCCCTCTAATCTTACACTGCTAAATTAGGGACGGCTAGCGCAGATAGCCCTCGTGTAGCTTTGCGCGAAATCCGTAACAAACAAGCATTATTCTTCACGAAACTGTCACAAGAAAACAAACTCGAAACATGCATATATACATATATAAACATTTAACTTAAAATTTACCACGAACTGAGAAATAGATTTTCGTTTTGAATTTTAGATATTGATATCGTAAATTAACCAAATGCTTAGATTCGATGACGAGGAACCCACTTTGAGACTAATAATGGCTGGAGACGGCTTGAATGGGTAAAGAAGAAAAACTTTAATATAAGTTTAACATAACAGCAAATGTACATGACATATGATGACAAAACCTTGTCGAAACGTTGTACATTTGCTGTTATGTTAAACTTATATTAAAGTTTTTCTTCATTACCCATTCAAGCCGTCTCCAGCCATTATAAATGCTTAGATTTTTAAACATTTATTATATACGCCATTGGTTTTGTTTGTAGTTAAGCACAAACTACACAATGGACTATCTGTGCTCTGCCCACCACGGATATCGAAACCCGGTTTCTGGCGGTGTAAGTCCGCTGTGTCACTGGGGAGCTCGTCATTAGTAATATCAAAATATTGAGTGCACTGTGTGCTTTCTTTATAGACCTGGAATATAATGAATATTACATTTGATTATATGTATGTAAACGAATGGGTTTAGTTTCGATAATAAAACCAATTAGGTTATTAGAGGACAATCAAATATTCTCAGCCTCAAGTGCGAACGAGAAGTTAATCCATACCGTGCTCGTAGAAATAACCAGAATACTTGGAGTTTGTAGAATAAAACGACAGAATTCGTTTGCAATTAATATCACTGATAGAGTCTGTGACGAATAGCTGCAAACTTCGCTAGTAATTGACACCATCGTGGGAGTTTGTGAAAAAATAGCAGCGAAATTCGCTAGTAATTGATACCATTGCGGGAATTTGTGAAAAATAGTATCGAAATTCTCTAGTAATTGATACCACTACGGGAGTTTGTGAAAAATAGCAGCGAAATTCGCTAGTAATTGATACCACTACGAGAGTTTGTGAAAAATAGCGGCGAAATTCGCTAGTAATTGACATCATTTGTAAAAGTTTGTGACAAACATCTGTAATATTCACTAGTAATTGATACGACTGCTCGAGTTTGTGACAAATAATGGCGAAATTCGCTAGTAATTGATATCACTACTGATTTTATTAAAACTATACTCCTAAATTCCTGGACACTCGACAGATTAATCTGCCGCTAAGTTCATGACAGTTTTTTTTTTCTTTTGTGACCAGTCGAATTCACGATGAAATACCAAAACAAAAATCACTTCTTTTATAGAAATTCGGTAAAATTACACTGTGGTGTTTTTTTGTTTTGTTTTTATATTAAACATGAATTTAGGCCCTTGGTTATAAACGTATACCTGTTAACTAACTGATCGTCTATTAGAGATATCTGCCTTACGTTGTCACTTCAGTAAATTATTATAAAAATATGCTATGCCTAGTCAGTTTCAATGTGTAACGTAAACTTTGAGCATTTTATCAACACTGAGCATGTTTCAAATCCAGTAAAAAATTAGGACAAAAATAACTTTGCCAGTATGAACTTGGGTTATGTGTTATACAGCGAAACACCTGAAATAAGTAGTGGTCATCACAATCTTACCTCTAGCGTGGTCATTACAATCTTCTCAACTGACGAAAAATAATTCTCCCACAGTACCTGTGTATGTTGACGAAGCGCGTGTACACGTGTCTTACTAATTGAACGAACAACATCAGGGACCTATAGAAATATATATATATATCTTCAGGTTTAAACGTGTTGTTTTTCAAACTGGATTTTGGCCTAAAACAATAGAATATAACCTAGGTTTATGAACTGATAAAAGTACTTGACCACAATGAAAGAAACATCATGATAGCTTGGACATGTTTCTGCAATCTTTAGTAAGTAGCTTGTATTATACAGATTTATTGTATTTATCCTTATTAAAAAAACAAAATGCAAATTTCCTTCAAAAACACATATTTTGTTACACACACATGTTTTAATAACTTATCTTAATGATAAAATGTAAGAAAAAAAAATGTTTTCGTAAATGCAGAGATACTGCGTAAGTGGTGCCACCTACCTGAAGAAGCAATCGTTCATCAGTACAGACTGTTGCTTTACCCCAATCAATCACTTCTCCAAATGGGAGTTCCCAACCGTTGCTGAGCAAGACAGGAATACAGCCGGCTTGAAGTGCCTCGAGAAAACGAAAAGATCCAAGACGACGCCCTCTGGGGACAATGCAAAATGTTGCATTTTCCATCATTAGTTGATAGTCCCATCTGAAAGGTGCAGCAAAAACTCAATTTAAATGAATCTAGTAAATAAAAACAAATTTTCTGTCCATTAACATTATTAAATTAAATTCGAACAGTGACAGTATCTCGGTAGAAAAAAAAAAAGTTATCTAAGTTTTTGTAATCAGCACGAAAATGCTAAGAATCGAGCTATGAAAAAGCTAATGGCTAAATGTAAGACAGTGATACATCATTACTAATGGTTACGCTACGTATACATAACGAATTACTAATACATCCAACCTACGTAAAGAGCTTCCGATGGAATAAAATGTAATTATTAAGAACTTCCGCTCGGAGGTTAACTACTCATATAGGAATGGAAATAAAACCGTTACATAACAATTAATGAAACGAATCTCGAGTAACAAACTGACGTTACTTAACTTCACAAATCCATTTATGTAATAACTCCTACCATAAGAGCCGCTGAAAAAGTCTACAATAATAATCACAGCTAACATTAACTATGTGACTAGTCTCTTCAGATGCGTGTTTTACCACAAAGCCACACAATTAGATGGCGTTATTCCATCGCGTGGATCGAACCCCGAATTTCACCGTCTGACCACAATGACGAGAATACATTTAATGATCAGTTGGAGAACCTTGTTGTTATCGATTCCTGATCTCAAAGAGCGATGAGTTTATAAGAGACTTAGGATATAAAAATATTGAAGTCGGTCATTATTTACTTCTCTGTCTGCATTTGAACAAGAACTTTAGTACATTATATGCTAAGGTTTTCTTTTTACAATCCTCATGCTCTAGTGTTTTCGTTATCTATACTATTCCCTTTTATCGCTCCTGACTAGTTTATATGAAGCCTATTTATCACACAAGTTAGATAGGTTATCAAACCCATTCATTACGTATAGGACGCAAGTTTGTTATCAAACTCATTCATCTCAAAGCTCACAGTTTGTTTATTAAACCTCTTAATTTCACAGAATATTGTTTATAAAACTCATAATCTCACAGGATACAGTTCATAGACTGTATTTAATTAAACCCTTAATTTCACAGAATACAGTTTATAAAATCCCTTAATCTAACCTGATACAGTGTTCATAAACCCCTTAATCTCATAGGATTCGGTGTTTATAAACCCCTTAATCTCACCTGATACAGTGTTCATAAACCCCTTAATCTCATAGGATTCGGTGTTCATAAACCTCTTAATCTCATAGGATTCGGTGTTTATAAACCCCTTAATCTCACGGATTCAGCGTTTAAAAATCCCTTAATTTCCCAAGATACAGTGTTTATCAAGCCCCCTAATCTCACAGGATACAGTACTCATAAAATCCTTTAATCTCAAAAGATACACATCGTTTATCAAACCCTTTAAACTCGCAATATACAGACTCGTAATTATGGTAGCTGTGTTACGGAAACTAGTCGGCTGAAGTAACTGATAAAGACTTTTATCTTTGATTATATAAAAAAAGTCGTTTTTCGTCTTTTTTTTTATCATCAATATATAGTAGCACAATGTGCCTGAAGAGAACTTATCTGAAAGAGTTTAGTTTCAGCCTGTATCAAATTCATAACAACGTCATAAGTTTAAAGAGAAAACAGGTTTTCACTTCACTTGTCCCTCTTGAGTCGTAATCAGTTGCTTTAGATGGAGATGTGAGTTCGAGATTATGCTAATCAATCGTCGTCTAACTTAGTCGAGTGTTCTATTGCTCATGCTCAAAAGAATATACAATTAATTCAACCAAATTCAGGATGTTGTCAGTTTGGTCAGATTACTACAATTGTTGTAACCCCCCCCCCCCCACACACACACACACAGTGGCACAGCGGTATGTCTGCGGACTTACAATGCTAGAATCCGTGGGCAGAGCACAGATAGCCCATTGTGTAGCTTTGTGCTTACTTACAAACAACAACAAGTGGTGTAAATCTGATTTGTTGATGGTTTAATGAATTTGTGGTACTAGCTTGATATGAAGCAAAAAAAAGTTATTTTTTTTCTTGACGATCATGACTTGTACTTACGGTGATGGCATAAAGCCTTAACGGTGAGCATACTTCAAACCTATATACATGCAAGAGATAATTTCTCCGAACCATAGTCGCTGTCGAAAAATGTCTCGATTCTAAAAAAACCATAGCATATGATATGGAAACACGGAACACACAGCTCTGTCTATTCATCCATCTGATGTTACTCTCGGGACGTGCTGAGCTTTTTCAAAATACAACCTAGAAAAGCTAAAAATTCAATCTGTTTATTCGTTTTAGAACAAAGCCGCGTTCGTCTATCTGCTGCGTTCACCGTGAATCGAACCCCAGGTTTTAGCGTTAAAAGTCCGTAGACTAACAGCTGTCCCACAGGGGGAAACATTCGATCTACTGAAAGACAATATGTCATTCTATCAATCCCCATCATATCTTATTCACCTCGTACGTCCATACTTGTCTAAAGATAATATGCTTTCTAGTAGAATCAGAGAAGGGGGGGGGTATCCATAACCTTCTTTCTACTTATCACTGAACTTTAATCCATTAAAACTTTCACCATACAAACAATGACTTCTAAAATATTTTACAGATTAGGCTAAAAGCTACACACAAAAAAAATTATATTCAAATTACATACGCATTTTTTTATTCAGGTACTTTTGAACTTTATTTTATTTTTTGTTCAATACGTTTATTGGAATTAACTGTAAACACGTTAAAGTTTTAATTCATATATTTCTTTTTCTCTGGATAAAAGACCTAATTAATATTTTAAAATGGGTTGAATATAAAATATTCACGCACTTTAAATTCTTAAAAATTAAAAATCCCTGAAGAGTTTACATGATTGTTTTTTTCGTCAGAATATTCCTTTGCCCAATTCCTTCTTTATAAAAGGATACATTTTCACTTAACTTTCATGACAGCATCTGTAACAGGATTTCATTTGCTTAGTTCTGTCATTGAAGATGAGTTTACTTACCTAAATTTCACATTTATAAGTCCGTCTTAAGATAATTTTTATTGCGTAACGTTTTCACTTGAGGCTCTGTTTTAACAGAATTACGTTTCCCTGATTCTTTTATTACAGAGTTTGTATTAAGAACATTTTCCTTGCCCCAAGTCTTTCAGTAAAGTCTGTCTTAAGAGAATGCAACTAATTCTGTCCTCTGGATGTTTGTCCTAAGAGTATTGTACTTATATAACTCTTTAATTAGGGAGTTTGTCCTAAGAACGTTGTACTTGGCTAACCTCGTCCTTAAGATGTCTACTAGTACATGCCTAACTCTATCGTTAACCCTAAAACGCCAGTGTGGAGTCACTATGACCCCAAACAAGTTAAACCTATATACTGAACTAACCACGCTAGCGTTCTAGGGTTAAGGAGACTGTCCTAAGAACATTGTACTTGGCTAACCTCGTCCTAAAGATGTCTACTTGTACATGCCTAACTCTATCGTTAACCCTAAAACACCAGTGTGGAGTCACTATGACCCCAAACAAGTTAAACCTGTATACTGAACTAACCACGCTAGCGTTCTAGGGTTAAGGAGACTGTCCTAAGAACATTGTACTTGTACAACAGTAGTTCAAGCCAACAGCTAATGTTTCTGTATTCTCAAAGTAAGGTATATTATTCATTTATTGTTACTTTCCTTAAGAGTATTGTTTATACTACCTAGTACATCGAATGGCGCTGCTTTCTATTTTGGTTTGTTGTTTATTGTTATGCTATTATTATTATTATGAAAGATTGTTTTGCATTGTTAGCTAAATAAATCTCCTAAGCAGGATACTCATGAGATATTATTGGGATTACGGTCGAAAATATTGTTAACAGCGAGGTTCTTTTACTGACGAAATGACGCATTATAATTTTTATAATTAAGAACGTATAAAAAGTATATCTAACTAGCTATACTCATTCCCAGGTTCGTGTTTAGTTTTGATCTAAGTAGGTATCTTGCTCTGATCGTAAGTTAATGTGAATTACAGATTACAAAACTTAACAACTAGTAACAGGAACTAAAAGTGTTTAAATTGGCGCACTTAACTTGAAAATGGTTATTTATAATCCAGTGATGTTAAAAAAATGTAACAGATAAATCTACTTGCAAGATTGCCAAAACTCAATCATAAAATCTTAAACGATATTAGAATGAAATGGACCTAGTCAACGTAATGTTCTTAAAGACAAAGGTACTCAAACGTATATCATTCACACTTACTAGCCTATGTATTTAAAGTATATTCTGTGCAAAACTCAATCATAAAATCTTGAACGATATTAGAATGAAATGGATCTAATCAACGTAATTTTCTTAAAGACAAAGGTACTCAAACGTATATCATTCACACTTACTAGCCTATGTATTTAAAGTATATTCTGTGCAAAACTCAATCATAAAATCTTAAACGATATTAGAATGAAATGGATCTAGTCAACGTAATTTTCTTAAAGACAAAGGTACTCAAACGTATATCATTCACACTTACTAGCCTATGTATTTAAAGTAAATTCTGCCTGGTAGTTGTATGTATAAACATGGTACCTCAGTTCATGAGGGAAGGAAAATAATTTTTCCCACGTTTTATAGGTAGCCTATACAACAACACCTAGGTGTAATTATTAATTATTTACTTGTTTTTATTATGGACAAGTTAGGAACTACTTTTTATCATACGTTACCATTGTTAATCTGATGCCGTATTACGGATATGTAGAAGAAGTTAGGATTTGAGCCCGAATCTTCTTATTAGAGAGTGGTGACCATTTATAGCACCTTTTTTTTTTTTTACGATAAAGGGGCGCGAACATCGGATACGCAGGTCCAGCACGCCAACCATTATAACTATTTAACAACACAGACTTGCGATGATTTTAATGTCTTGACATTTTTATATGTTCTACGGTAATTCCTGTACGCTGAATGCGAAAATGATATCCATTTTTCTCTATCAATTACAGACTTTTCACAAAACGTCATAACGCAATACATAAAAGAAAGATC